TTCTCATAAAACCCAAACGCCTTCTTAACTCTGGGATGTTCATAGCTGCTTGTTTGTTTATGTGGCTGAACCAACAAACAGACTGTGGCCTGAGTTGATCAATCAGAACTCAGCAAGTATCATCCTCGCAGAACTAAGCAAGTCTGAATCCTGCATTTGCATAAATGAACCTGAGTGGGAACTTGGGCAGGAACTTTCTTTATACACCATAAACTCTCGTTTTGTTCTTTGGACTGCACCTTAAATCTGCCTCTCCTTGATTCACAAACTGTTCACTGGAATAGTCTCTTTCCTCTAAATTTCTTTCTTTTTTTTTTGAGATGGAGTTTCGCCGTTGTTACCCAGGCTAGAGTGCAATGGCGCGATCTTGGCTCACCACAACCTCCGCCTCCTGGGTTCAGTCAATTCTCCTGCCTCAGCCTCCTGAGTAGCTGGGATTACAGGCACGCGCCACCATGCCCAGCTAATTTTTTTTTTTGTATTTTTAGTAGAGACAGGGTTTCACCATGTTGACCAGGATGGTCTCCATCTCTTGACCTTGTGATCCACCCGCCTCGGCCTCCCAAAGTGCTGGGATTATAGGCATGAACCACCGCACCTGGCCCTCCTCTAAATTTCTTTTCAGAGAACTTTTATTCACACAATTATTATTAATATCTCAAAATACTTTGTATTGTTCAATATTATTTTAAAACTAAAGCACTAATTAAAAAGCTTATGTTATCATAAACATGAGTTTTAGTATCTTAACTATTTCAACATAATTAGTCTCCTTTAGAATGCTCTGCATTATATGCTGAGTTGTGTGCGGTGTTCGCACCAAGGGCTTGAGACAGCAGTGTGACTCGCCCCATCTTGGCTGCTGGACCTATCTGCACTCCCCCATCTCGAGGGCTGTCGAGCTGAGACAAAGGCCGCGGGCTGAGTCACTGAAGCATAAACAGAATGCAAAGCAAAGGTCTGCGGTTTATGAGGACATTGTGCTGTCTGCTTCCATGTCCCCATCAGTCTCTGTGTAAGCAATAAACTTGCTGCAATTGAGATGCCTAAGAGGAGCAGCGACCTCTGCCCATATTTTCCCTGGAGCTAAGCCTTTGATCTAACTCCTGTTGGAAAACAGGTTTAACAAGCCACCTTAAAGGCACCATTGTTTGCTTGCACCGCGTATCTTTGAAAAACAAACTGCTTTGTAAACTATTATCACAGCCCCCTTAAACTACTTTGTGAGCGGTTATCACAAGCCCCTGATAACTATTTTTTATGGAGTTTCTATTTCCTTTTTGTTTACCCCTTTTCTGCTGAGATAAAGTAAATGTAATAAGAAAAAAGGTATAAAAGCTGTAACCCACAAGAATAAACTTGCTGTGTTTTTGACTATAATTTTCACGCAGACCTCCAGACTCCACTTTCCTTTATTCTTTCACTTCCACGCACTCTTTCCCTCAGGTTGAATGAGACATCTATGTTGGCGGTCTCGGGGACTCCCACAGGTTGGTAGCCCCCCGGGGCAGATGTGCGGGACCCCAACAGAGTTGTGTCCATTACACAAAAGAGACTGAGAAGCCTGCTGCAAAGGAACTACCACAAGCAGAATGCATGCCCCTTTATATAACTATTGTCCCTGGCCTCCACTAAAATCAATTTAAAGAAGCAAGAATAGAATATTATAAAACCTCATACCCAGATCAACAAGGACTATTTGCTATAATAAATTCAAAACAGTGAGGGCCAAAAGAAAGGGTGACATTGGAAATCTACTCACAGCTATCTACTAAACTCACAAACTCGGTACATTCAGAGGAAGAGAGAGGTGAAAACAGAAGTTCCAGGGCTGCGAAGTGACTTCCTCCTGGGTGAGGCTGGGTAGGAGGCAGGGCATCTGGGAACCAATGGATCTTTGCAATCCTGGTGCCTCAGGCATATTGGCAGTGGCTTCTAGGCTACAGGAGAAACACAAGGCCATAATTCTGCCTTTTCTTATTTTCTTCCAACTTCTAAAATTAAACGGCAAAGTTGTAAAGTAACCAACTTTGCAGCAATGTGTCAGTTTGAGAGTGACAGGTAAAATATTGCTGATTCCACGGACGGGCATGAACGGCTGACAGGCTGAGGATGCAGGTTGTTGAGGAAACAGCCATTAGCACAGCAAGACAAACAGCAGGGCCCAGAACATCTCCTGCACTATGGCACTGTCTATACTAGTGTTCCCAGGGCCTAATATCTAAAATGCGTTTAAAACTTCCACTGCCAGCCTGGTGGAAAGAGGCCAAGGGCAATCAGGTAAACAGAAAGGAGAATGGAGGAAATTCTATCCACATCATGTTTGGGAATTACAGGCTTACATAGAATTGGCCTAGAACTAAGGGAAAATATTAGAAAAATTGAATGTGTTTGATATTTTGAAAGGGGGAGGGAAGCAGGAAAGGAACATAGCATTTAGGTGAAAAGAATGAGTACATTTTCAAAGATTTAGAGAGCATAATCACAATGAAAATTTAAAATATTCTACAAACCCAAATTACTAGAAGCAGGCAAGGAGGCAGAGGAAGGAAAAGTACCAAAAAGATAAGAAGGATTTTTTATTTTGAGACAGAGTCTCACTCCGTCACCAGGCGCCAGGCCTGGAGTGCAGTGGCATGAACTCGGCTCACTGCAACCTCTGCCTCCCGGGTTCAAGCAATTCTCCTGCCTCAGCCTCCCGAAGTAGGATTTTTTAAGGGAACAGAAAATAAGATGCCAGGAAATGAAGTATATTTATAGTGACAATAAACATAGTTGAATTAAAGTCATCTATACAAAGGAGACAGCTCTCAAAGTGGGTGAAATAATTGAATCCACCTATATACCCTCTGCAAGAAAAAACATTAAATAAAATGACTCAAGAAGGTTGAATGTAAATGCCATGCCAATGTGTTCCAGGGAATCTAAAATAAGCACACACCCACACCCACAATTTAAGGTTGCCATATCAATATCAGAAAGTATATTAAAAGTAAAAATTATGAAATGGAAAGGACTCATAAATTTATAAAGTCAAAAGTAAATTTCAAATTAAGATTTACTCATCAAAATCGTTTTGAAATTATAACATCAGAATATAGTATTCAATAGTAACTGCCAAAGCAGACATAAAAAGAAAAATGGATAGAAATAATAATGGAAAACTTTGGTATAACTTCCAGTATTTAAGAGGTCAAATATATAACAACAAATAAGATTTAAGGAATCTGAGTAAAGTAAGGTGATTGTTCCCATAGCTATGCCCCTCTCTGTGCCTTGGAAATAGAGGATAAACTTTTAGTAATGCCTACGGGATATTTCCTAGTGCTATTATATGCTTATTTGTAAAGAAAATCTGAGTCATTTCTACATTATTCAGATAAGCTTTTGTACTTTTAAACTGCTGGTTATACTCCATTCACTTAAACAAAAAGTATTAACTAAGGCTGCATTGACAAATGTGGTTAATTCCCTATCCAGATTTTTGCCATTTCTAAATCATCAATCTTGAGCTATGCTTGCATCTTGGCCATTATGGAAATTTTTAGTACTTGCAATATGAAGTCAATATAATACCGACTCAATTTCATTTTTGAGTGACACTGTCAGTATTCCTCCCTCAGGTGGGTGTGGTGGTGCATGCCTACAATCCCAGCTACTCGGGAGGCTGAGGCATGAGGACCACTTGAGCCTAGGGGTTGAGGCTACAGTAAGCTATGATTGCACCACTGTACTCCAGCCTAGGAAACAGAGTGAGATCCTGTTTTTTAAATAAGTTTCCTTCAGACATCATTTGCATTATTTCTTCCAATAAATTTGCTAACTGGCTATGTTCGTTTAAGGTGAAAAATTTATTTATTTATTAATAAAATTTCCAGGAAATTAACTGAATTCATTATTGTTTCTATAGTATTCCAGGCAACCCATGTGGATTTTCTAAGTAAGCAATCATCCTCTCATAACGGTAATTTTTACCTTCTTTAGCCATGCATATTTTCTCCATTTCCTTGTCCCTCAGCCCCTCCCTCTTAAATGAGAACCTCATTGCTTATTGCAGAGAAGATGCCAACCTATATACTAACCCATCACACACACAACACTGCTTTCTCTCTGCCACTGTGGATAAGCTCTAGGTTCCTACCCAAGGCCAACTACAGATGTGGTGGTTGAATTTCATCCCCTCCAGATGATTCAAGTACTTTTTAATTCTGTCCTTGTGCCTTCTCTCCTACATTGTGGAACTTCGTTATTGAATTATACCATCACCTTACATGGGATTGCATCTATCTTCTGAAACAAACAAAACCCTCCCTGGTTCTACATCCCTCTACAGCCACCACACCATTTCTCTGATTTCCTTTATAGGAATGGCTATCCCGGCTGTCCAAATTTCCTCAGTCTGTATTCATTCTCTCTCTCTCTCTCTCTCTCTCTCTCTCTCTCTCTCTCTCTCTCTCTCTCTCCATGCTATAAAATAAAACTCAGAGACACAGAAACTTGCACAAATGTTTGGCTCGATGAATTATTATAGGATAAATGTTTGTGATCACTAGCCTGGACATGAAAAAGAGAATACTGCTAGGATTCCACAAGTTCTTCCAATGGTCTCTCCCTGCCCCTAAATGTAACAACTACCGTGACATTTATAATAATCTTTTTCTGTATTACTTTATAGACTTATCACCCACATGTATACCATTACAGCGTTTCACTTCACCAACATTAAATATTTTGTTTTGTCATTGAAGTTCCTTCTAAAGTAGAGCATCCACTTCTATCCCCTATTTTTACACGTAATTTAAGAATGTTAGATACAGTGAACCCCAAGTTTCTCTTCAAAGGATCAGTACGTCAGTATGTTCAGCTCTCTTATTCTTTCTCTATTTTAAAGTTTAACTTCCTCGTCGTTTCAGTTCTAATCAGCAGTTCATATCTGTTCCTCCAGTCCCCTGCCCCGGTCCTGACTCATCCCAGTCACCTGCACTGACCCCCACGCTTACCTGCCCTTAACCGTCCTTCCCGCCAAACTACCCACCCGGCCGCCTCAGCCGGTAACGGCTCCGTTTAAAACAGCCAATCAGAATTAGACTAGATTGTGCGGTCTAACCCTGGCCAATAGGGGGACGACCCAGCAGAAGGAGCCCATTATGCCTAAACGCCCCTCCCCTCCCAGCTCAGGGGTGCGCCCAACATCGTTCCATCTGGGAGCCGCGCCCTTCTGTACACGTCAGTTGCCTTGTTGAGGAAATTTGTATTCGAGTGCTACTTCTTCTGCAGCATCGAAAATTCTACTAACAATCTTGGTGGCCCATTCGGGGACCCCCATTCCCCTCCGGGGGCGGCCTCTGGTCCTCCCTCCTGAGAGGGGCATCCTCACGGCCTCACTGCGGCGGCCTCGGGGGTAAACAGTCAGGCCTGACCCGGTGCGAGGAATACGCCGGGACTGTCAGCAGCGGAAACCGGCCGGCGACCTGAGGGGAAGGGTCCTCAGCAAATCTGTGCACAGGCCAAGAAAGGAAACACCCGGGAGCTCGCGAAGTGTTTCCTTGGTGGTGGGGACAGACCGAGGAAGGAAACGCCACCGGCAAAGTATTTCCTTGATTGTCGCGACAGACCAAGGTAAGAGAAGCCACGGGTGGGTGTGGGAGGAGTGATTCCTTGGTTGGGACGTACCAAGGTAAGAAGCCACGGGGGTGGGGGGGAGTGATTCCTTGGTTGGGACGTACCAAGGTAAGCCACGAGGGTGGCGGGGGGAGTGATTCCTTGGTTGGGACGTACCAAGGTAAGAGAAGCCACGGGTGGGTGCGGGGGGAGTGATTCCTTGGTTGGGACGTACCAAGGTAAGAAGCCACGGGGGTGGCGGGGGGAGTGAGTCCTTGGTTGGGACGTACCAAGGTAAGAGAAGCCACGGGGGTGGAGGGGAGTGAGTCCTTGGTTGGGACGTACCAAGGTAAGAAGCCACGGGGGTGGGGGGGAGTGAGTCCTTGGTTGGGACGTAACAAGTTAAGAGAAGCCACGGGGGGTGGGGGGGAGTGAGTCCTTGATTGTCGCGATAGACCAAGGTAAGAAAAGCCACGGGGGGTGGAGGGGGGGAGTGATTCCTTGGTTGGGACAGACCAAGGCAAGAGAAGCCGTGAGAGGCTGTGAGGTATTCCTTGGTTGGGGTGTCTCTGGGGTTAAAATAACAGCAACAATAAAAAGCGAGACATTTCCGGTATTCACCCCAAAATAAGAAATACCGCAAGTAGGGCCAAGGGATAAAAAGGATAAAACTGGCCGGGCGCGGTGGCTCACGCCTGTAACCCCAGCACTTTGGGAGGCCGAGGCGGGTGGATCACGAGGTCAAGAGATCGAGGCCATCCTGGTCAACATGGTGAAACCCCGTCTCTACTAAAAATACAAAAAATTAGCTGGGCATGGTGGCGCGTGCCTGTAATCCCAGCTACTCAGGAGGCTGAGGCAGGAGAATTGCCTGAACCCAGGAGGCGGAGGTTGCGGTGAGCCGAGATCGCGCCATTGCACTCCAGCCTGGGTAACAAGAGCGAAACTCCGTCTCAAAAAAAAAAAAAAAGGATAAAGCTAGCAACAACAATTTCCCCCCAGGCCTATTAGAAGAATAATGAAGGGACCAAAAACAAACAAACGAAAAAAGCAGCTGCTGTCCCAGACCTTTCTCCTATCCTTTTAGTTTCCCTCCTCATAACCCTGCCTCTTGGGAATTGTCCCAAGAGGACTCACTACCAGCCTGAGTACCCTTCCCTAAAAGGACTTCAACGCGAGATAGAGCAGTGTAAAAAACAAAAAAGATATTCAGAACTTCCCTTTCCCCGCTGCTCAGGAAAAGAAAGAGGTATGATCCGTAGAGCTGCTATGGGAGCTAGGAACATGAATACCCACCTGGCCAAAACGTTCCCACAGCAGATTAAAAATTTCTGCCCAAGACACCTGGTGGGACAATAACAATGTAGCCCACCGAGAAAACATGCCGGAAAATATGCTGGTCTAGGTCTGGACGATCCTCTTCATTTTGTCGCTAACAACTGGCCAAATATTAAGAAATTACAAAAAATAAGTAGAGAACTAGGAAGATAAACCTGTAAAAGACCTTGTAAAAGAGAGAGAGAAAAAAAGAAATCCTAGTGGAGAAAGACTAACAGAGGGAACAGAGGAAGTCAGAGAGAGAGAGAAAGAAAGGAAGAGACAGAAGTAGTAAAGAGAAAGCCATGTGCCCTATTCTTTTAAAAGACAGGATAAATTTAAAACCTATAATTGGTAATTGAAGGTCTTCTCCATGATGGGCTTCTTAAACCTATTGCTCCCAATCTTTATACTATTACAATCACCAGTAGTTTGCAGTAATAGGTTTGAAAGATGCCTTCAGGGCTTGTCGGTTGGCAGAGGATAGCTGGGACCTATTTGCCTTTGAGTGAGAAGACCCTCACTCAGGTGGAAAATAGCAATACCAATGGACAGTCTTACCCCAAAGATTTGCGGAATCTAAGTCTATATATAGATAGACTCTAATGCCCTAAAAATAAAGCCCTTATGCAAAAAGCTCACATAAGACAGGCTAAACCCCCTCATTTGGCAATGACCAGAAGGAAAGGTTTTTTCCTGAAGCAGCCATTTTTTTGTCAGTGTAAAGAAGGGCGTAGACTTAGAAATACTTGCTCAAAGGCATAGAGGCCACTGACAACCAGTAGCCCTCCTATCAAAAATCGTTAACGTAGTAACCTGTGGATGGCCCAAATGCTTTAGGGCACGTGCTTATTTATGAAGTTTGCTAAAAGTTAACAGTGTAACATGTATTATCCTAACTACTAATCTTGTGGCCTTAGGCAGCCTAGTCCACTGACATGAAAGACATAAAAGAACGGTTATCGTCTTTGACAAAAAAGAAAAAGAAAAGGAGAATTTATGTAAAAAGAATCTTAAATGGTAAATTCTTGTCCTGAAAGAAAATAACTGGCTGTTTAAAGAAAGGGATATTTACAAGTCAGAAAGTTGAAGACTGTCTGTGAAAGTCATGAAAAATGTTATAAAAGGGAATTTATGCAAGAAATACTGTACACTTGAAAAGTAATTAGGCCTCCTGAATGTAAAACTAATGAAGAAACAGTTTATGTGCAAGGTGTGTAAGGAAAGTAAAATATACTTTTGGTAAAAGAATTATAAGGAGGCCGGGCGCGGTGGCTCAAGCCTGTAATCCCAGTACTTTGGGAGGCCGAGGCGGGTGGATCATGAGGTTAAGAGATCGAGACCATCCTGGTCAACATCGTGAAACCCCATCTCTACTAAAAATACAAAAAATGAGCTGGGCATGGTGGCCCGTGTCTGTAATCCCAGCTACTTGGGAGGCTGAGGCAGGAGAATTGCCTGAACCCAGGAGGCGGAGGTTGCGGTGAGCCGAGATTGCGCCATTATACTCCAACCTGGGTAACAAGGGTGAAACTCTGTCTCAAAAAAAAAAAAAAAAGAATTATAAGGAGGTGTAGAATGTGCATTTGTACCTTCATTTAAAAAAAAGTTAAAAAAAATTACGTTTTGGGGAAATGCCAGATATAGGTTATGGGGAGGAAGGCAGCAAACCACACTGCCATGTGTGTACCTATGCAATCATCTTACATGTTCTTCACATGTACCGCAAAACCTAAAATGCAATTAAAAAAAAAAAGAAGATGAAAGCTTTGACCTTGGAGAGGCAGGCAAAGGGCTCTAAACAGAGCCTGCTCTCCAGTGTCTAGAAGAGGTTACCATTCTTTCACAGTGCTCTTTCCCATGCCTTGCCCCCACCAATGCCCACATCTACCTCTCAAATGTCTTATTCTTATTGCTCCGGTTTATGGCAACAATAAAACAGTAAAAATAATACTGATTCAAAGATAATAAACTTGAAAACACACACACACACACACAATTATGTTTTGAAGGTTTAAGCAAGTTTTAAAATGTTAATTATAAAGGAAATTCTGTGCGTAATCATATTAGCTAATGTTAAGGGGATATGTTTCAGTTTTTCTGTGAACTAGACCTTAAAATAAAAGCACAACAGTTTTTGTTTTTGTTTTTTAAAAAGCACTAAGCTGCTCTTTTTTTTTTTTTGCCTATTAAGATAGTCTATTACTATTTTGCTATATAACTGCTTATACTTTTCCCATGCAAAGTTATTCATATAAATACATATTTCACTGAAATTGAGAATCAAATCACTGACATTATAGTTCAATGTACTGTAAATGGTATTTCATACCACTTAATATACAGGGACACCATTTTTGATGACTGTGTCGGACTCAATTGTATAGATATACCTTCACTAGATAAATGTGCCCTATACTGTTGACCACTTAATTGTCATTGAAAAAGAAATGGTCTTATTTCACTAAAAATTGGGATTTTTAGAAGTATTGGATTTGTAGAAGTATCAGAGAGAAACCAATCTAAAGAGAGAGAGAAGCATCTTAAGTTTAACTACTTTAAACCAGTGATGTGAGTGTGAGCACTAGCACAGGAAAATGGGCACTCTCGTGCCCTCCAACGGGTGTGCAAATTGTTACAGGCTTTCAAGAGGAAAATTTGCAAGGCTCTAACCACCTCCAGAAAGTTATCTTAAGAAAGTAATTGAACCAGCAGCATATGTAGTTAAACAAATAAATGCTTCTCAGCAATGTTAATATGCTAAGGCAAAAGAAGATTTAAAAAGACTTCTATTCCTATTTTTTTTACAGTACTTAAAGTTTTAAGCTATTTTTACATGTATGAAATTAAGTCCCTTATAATTTATTTTGCTGTAATGTGTGAAACTCTAACTAGTTTGTTTCCTGATGGTTAGTCATGTGTCCCGACACCATTTACTGAATATCTTATCCACAATGATGTCAGTAGAACCTTAAACATTTTTTAAACATATATTTATGTGAGCTTCTGTGTTTTTTGTTCTGGTCCATACATTTACCATCTATTGTGATGGTGACATCAGACAGCTTTTATCATTGTAATTCTGAAAACATTTATCTAATTACCTGTTCAACAAATATTTATTGCAGAGCTGTTTTTTGTAAGACATTATAGCTGACACAATGAGAAAAGAGGCACAGCTGTTGCCGTTATGTGGCTTACAGTTTAATGTAGAAGATGGACAATAATAAAACAATCTCACAAGTAAATCTATTCCTACAAAGTGTGAGAAGTCCTGGGAAAGGAAGGTACAGGTAACTGTGAAGGAATACATTGTTAACTTTAGGGCCTTCCGATGGCTTCATTCCTTCCAATTAATGTTTTCTTCCAGAAGTTCCTTGACAGGATATATTCTACAAAAGTCAGGTCTATTTTCATGTTTTTAAACAAATTCAATCCATACTTTAATCAGAGTTGAATTAAATTTGTAGTTGAATTCAGGGAGACTAAATATATTCTTAACATTAAAAATTTACAGTAAGTACAGGTGTATTTTGCTTTAACTATTTTTTAAAAATCTCTTTAGGAAAGTAATTTTTCTGATAAAACTTGGATGCTTCTTAATAAATTTGATATTAGACATTTAATTCTTTTTGCCATAGTTGTTAATGGTATCTGTTTTCATATCATTTTAAAGTCGATTGCTGGCATACAGGACAGCT